GAAAGCAAATAAATATGATATTCCCCTTGTTCTACCTTCTCCTTTTCCCCAGGTTGATGCAGAAAGACAGTTTAGAGATTTAGACAGCAAACCTTTATATACATACCTGAGAGGAAGGCCCATTGAATTCAGTGTACTTATTTCTGACTAGGTCAAGATGTATAGGATTGTGCTGAACAGCTGCAATCCTATATACACATACAAAGGAGTAAGTGCTGGTGAAGAGATCAGGACTTACTTCCAAGTAAGTATGCATAGAATTGTATTATGAGTTGCTAGTGCTACTTTACTTGTTAGTAACAAAGGCTTGTGGCATTTTTCGTTGGGAGCCCTATTAATTTTTTTCACATTATATTTCATAGACTTCTCAGGAAGGCACTTACACTAAAGAAGAATACTGATGCATTTCAGTAAATGATGCTAAGAGAAAAATACATAAGAGAAAAAAATCAAAAAATATTGAGAGAGTGAGATTTCAGGTTTGTTTTGATTTCATGCAATTTTTAATTAGTGAAGAAGGCCTTCACAGGTTTTAAAAATCTACTTTTCCACTATATGGATTCTTTTAGCATATCCAGAAAATTGGTATTTCTTGTTTAGCTGCAAATAATGGACTCAACCCTGTCCAAAGTTGCTGTAAATCAAGCTTATTTGTTCTAGAATCAGGTATTACCTGAAAATTACTTTCAGTGAACCTTATCTAACATTAATGCACACTGGGGATCTGATGTTTTGCATTCCTTTTTTTATTTGGGATATTTCTAGCCTGTCCAATCACTTTTGTCTCTGGATGGCTCACATTCCTTGGACCAGGCAGATTTCCATCTGAGCATCTTTGCGCTAAGTAGGAATACAACCTGGCAGCACACAGTAGTTTGCTATTTCCTGGAACAGCCTTCCTCAATCTGGGCCCCTCCAGATGTGCTGGACTGCAATTTCCATCATTCTCAGCTGGCATAACCTCTAGATATCTCAGGGCTCAGAAAAGTATTATTTTTGGCATTTTGTAATAGATTTTCCGAGATTTTTATATTCTTTACTCACAAATGTCTCCGAGATGAAGGTTATTAGGGACAATCTGAACTTGTAAATTGTCATGTCATTTTTTTAAAATGTCCCTTTTCTTCTTTTAAAAAGAAAAGTTCATTTCCATAAGGTAGCAGAACATTTTATCAAAATGTCAAGCCCAGGTTTCAGAAATTGTGATTGTACTTGAAAAAAAAAAATCATTCTGTATACACCTAATCATGCAATGTGGTGTGTAGTCAAGGTAATCACACATGCAAATTATGCACAAGTAGTTCTCTTAATGTGAGCTTTAATATCCACGTACAGTTAACAAGAGAACTGAATGGTATGAAAGCAGCTTTTCTTATTTAATTTACATATTTATTTTCAGCTGTTGGCAATACATTCACAGTGTGCTTTTTATTTTTTAAAAAATGGCTCATTGGTGCATCTGTCTGCATAGGGGATAGGAAACACAGCTCATCTTTCTATCCTGGGATCTGGCCCTGAACAATGGCTAGGGAAACTGGAGGGCTACTCCTGCGCCTCACTTAAGAAGCAGGAAGCTGGCGGGTAATTCCACCCACATCTGCAAAGGTGTTTCTGGCACTCATACGGAAGCAAACTGCTTTCTTCTAGCCAGGATGAGGTCGAAGTTGAAAGTGGTATGACAAGGTAGAAGTTCCATTTGATGAATGGCTGGGAATCAACAAGGGGGATGATCCCTATTCCTTAACCACATTGGAACTTGCCGGGGACACAGCTCAGTGGCAGAACCCACCCTCTGCATGCAGCAGGATCCAGGTTCCGATCCCTGGCTTCTGTGGGTAGGGCTGGCAAAGGATCCTGCCTGAAGACCACCAGAGCTGCTTCCAGTCCGTGTTCACAGTACTGGCCTAGAGGGACCCATAGCCTGAGGGTCGAAGGCAGGTATCTAACATGCCTGTTTCTATGTTTACATGGCGGTGTGGCCCCCATGTAAGCTACTGTTGGTGTAGCCAACTTTTCCTCTTCTGCTCCTCGACCCTGGTCTGCATAGCTTTAATGACCTTGGCCAGTTAAAAGCAGAGAAACCTCTGAGGGCTGGTTCACATATGCATGTACATAATTTGACACTTCAAAACCGAATGATTTATAGTGAACTGGCTCCGTTAATAGTATTAGTGCCTGGGGTGAAGTGAGAGCCTGTCTGCTGTGTTTGAGCTTTGTAGGCTCATTCCACTCTTTGAGAGACTGGAATGTTTAATTCTTGATTCCTTAGATCCCTATTTAAGACCCAGTTCATACATACACGTACGCTGCTTCAAAACACGCACACTCATTAGTTTGCTCTGAATAATGAGCAGTTGAATGTATAGACTGACTCCACTGAAAAGCTATGGTATGGTATGGTATTTATTTTATTTATTTTTTATTTTATTTTTTGATTTATATCCTGCCTTTTTCCTACGAAGGGCTCAAGGCAGCTTACATCATTCTCCATCTTATCCCTACAACAACAACCCTGTGAGGTAGATTGGGCTGAGAGTCTGTGACTGGCCCAAAGTCACCCAGTTGGCTCCATGGCTGAGCAGGGACTAGAACCCAGGTCGTCTGAGTCCCAGTCCCATGCTCTTAACCACTACACCACACTGGTATGGAATGGTATGGTATGAAGGTCCTATCTCTGATGACACATTCACACATGCAAATCACCACATGATGCATTGTATGCTTTCCCAAGACTCATCTTGCATTACGTTCACTGGATAACTTTGAAACTTTATATAGTTTTCAGCCCAATTGACCTCATAGGGTTGTTGGTCATCAGCAATAATAACAGAGGGGTTGGTCTCTGAATCCACTGTATAAACTTAGTCCAGCCTTCCTCAGCCTGGTCAGGTTTTCTGGGAATTACAGGAACTGTGTCTAACACATCTCAAAGCTGCCACAGAGGGGGAGCTTGCCTTAGCCTGTCATCACCAGAAAGCCAAGTCCAAATTAGAAAAGGAAATATATAACTAGGCTTTCAGAAACCACGGCAGAAAGAATATGCCATGTCTGAATTAATTTGTGCAGTGCCAAGGAGATGTGTTATTTTCTTCTGGCCTCATATATCCCAAAGATGTCTGATATGGATTTGTGATTCTGATACCACAAAATCAATTCTTTCCCCTTTTCTCCACTTTGTCAGCCCCATTTTTTTTCATTTGCAGTCACTGTTCATTTCTTTTCTTCCTGTTTTGCCTGTCATTATGTATTATCTGAAAGCTTTGAAAAAATCTATTTGATTGGTTGCCGTTGATGTTGGTGAGATTGTGCCCTGCTTTGAGGAAGAAGTGAGTGACACAACATAGCGATAAAACTGCCATTTGAGATGCACCTGTTAACACTGATAACGTTAAAATGCTTCCTGGAATATACTCGGAGCAGCACATTCTTTAGCTATTTGAGACATCTCCACTCTATGATTAGGCATGTATACTGTTTATGAGCATGTACATCTTCTCTAACCATGCTTTTGAAAATTTCCAGAAGCAAAAATGCCTGACAGAAATGCCTAACCAGTAGAGCCTGCAAATGAGTTATTTAAATTCTGACTTCAGAAAATGATAGATGTACCATTGCTGTTGAAGTAATAGGAACTGGCTTTGAGGCTGCTTCTCAAAATGTGAAGCTAGGCCCTTGCAAGAAGCTTGGGGAAAGTTCAGGGACATATACATTGCCCTGTATTTTCTCCCTTGCCGGCCCATATTTTGTCAGATGAAACATACCATTTGCTGTCTTCCTCGGGACCAAAATGTCTTGCTACTCAAGGCCAATATTTATTTTACCTCACAAGAATGCTTTTGTTGTTTGCTTCTGTAGCTTCCCTGAATCACAAAGCAGGGCAGTCATATCATGGCTGCTTTTCTTTGCTATTTCTCAGTTTCAGGATGAAATTATGCACTGATACAACCGAACACCAACTTGTACATGCATTTTGGAGATCATTTCAAAGTAGCTTAATTTTTCTCAAGTTGTTGTCCATTAAGGTGGATTCTGTATGTGGTATAAAGTGGTGTGTGTATGCTTGGCACAAGTCTAAGGACCTGAATGCTGAAGTGTGTAAAAAATCAGCACAACTATTCAAGGATGTCCTTTGAATCCTGGGTCAGTTGGTTGTTCCAAGCTGAGGCAAAGCAGACCAACAAGGAAAAACAGAAGCACAATTTGAATTGAACTTCCAAAAACATGGTGAGAATGAGGCCTTTCAGGATCCCTAACCTTTAGGGATAATTTGACTAAGGCAACTGAGAATTGCTCCTCTATTTTGAGCAGTATACCTCCTTTACAATTTTGCATCTGGTGAAGTGGAAAGTACCCACAAAAGCTTATGACAGAATATATATATATTTCGTAGACTTTAAAGTGCCACAGGAGTCTTTGTTTTTGCTATAACACAGTAACATGGCTGCCTTTTTGATAATAAGTTTACATGACTCTTCCCTCATATTGTATTAGGACCGAGACATATATCACCTTTGACTGTGAATGCATATGGGAAAATACAGTGTAGTTGCCATGGAGTCCAGGTGTTTTCTTTGTTGCATTAAGTAAAACTGTTTCTTCTAAAGGCATTTCATCCAGATTTTAAACTAAAGCATTTGTGAAGCATTTATTTATTTATTTGCACAAATGTACAGCTCACCAAAACTGTTTTGGTCATATAAACAAAACTGAAAAACAACAACAATAACATCTGTGCCATGTTGGTGCTGCCCTTTCTGGCTGGTGCTCTGATCCTTAAACGAGGCTCCAACTCTCAAGGAAAGAGACACAAGCCTTTCTGAAATAGCAAGTCGCAGGAATTTACTGCAACTCCTAGCAAAATTACCACCTGGATGTATGTAAGAAATACAATTCAATTTATTTTCTTCAGTCTCACCCTTCTCATTCCTCTCTGTCTGTTTCAGATTCTTATCCTGGAAAGAAGACAGTTGCCTCTGTGCCGTGGACATTAAGTCTTGTGTATGGCGTGGTTAAGGTTGCAGCCTGTCACCTCAGCCTTCCTCCGGTTTGGGCTTGTCACTTTTGTGCTGTTTTTACACGGTCTACAGGTGGATGCTGGCACAGGGGCAGATCCACCCAGTGTAGGACATAACGCCACATGCTCCGGTTCTTCTGAATGCAAGGAGGGTGTTATCTTGCCAATATGGTATCCAGAAAACCCATCACTGGGGGACAAAATTGCCAGGGTGATTGTTTATTTTGTGGCACTGATCTACATGTTCCTTGGAGTCTCTATCATTGCCGACCGTTTCATGGCATCCATAGAGGTCATTACCTCACAAGAGAAAGAGATTACAATAAGGAAACCCAATGGGGAAACTACAACCACCACCATCCGAATTTGGAATGAAACTGTTTCCAACTTGACCCTCATGGCTCTTGGTTCCTCAGCTCCTGAGATCCTTCTGTCATTGATAGAGGTATGTGGCCATGGATTCATTGCTGGTGATCTGGGGCCTTCCACCATAGTTGGCAGTGCAGCTTTCAATATGTTTATCATCATCGCCATCTGTGTCTATGTCATTCCTGATGGTGAGACTAGGAAGATAAAACATTTGAGGGTTTTCTTTGTCACAGCTGCATGGAGCATCTTTGCATATATTTGGTTGTACATGATCCTTGCAGTCTTCTCCCCGGGTGTAGTCCAAGTCTGGGAAGGCCTGCTCACTCTGTTCTTCTTCCCTGTTTGTGTTATCCTAGCTTGGATAGCAGACAGAAGGCTATTTCTCTATAAGTATATGCACAAAAAGTACCGTACTGACAAGCACAGGGGCATTATCATTGAGTCTGAAGGAGATCACCCTAAGGGGATCGAAATGGATGGTAAAATGATGAACTCCCACTTTCTGGATGGAAACCTAGTGCCTATGGAGGGGAAAGAGGTGGATGAGTCTCGCAAAGAGATGATCCGGATCCTCAAGGATCTGAAGCAAAAGCACCCAGAAAAAGACTTAGACCAACTGGTGGAGATGGCCAATTACTATGCCTTATCTCATCAGCAAAAGAGCAGAGCGTTCTACCGGATTCAGGCAACCAGAATGATGACAGGAGCAGGAAACATTCTGAAAAAGCACGCAGCCGAACAAGCCAAGAGGAGCACCAGCTTGCATGAGGTGCGTCCAGAGGAGCCAGAGGAATTCATCTCAAAAATTTATTTTGATCCTTGCTCCTACCAGTGTCTTGAGAATTGCGGTGCTGTCCTCCTCAATGTTGTTCGAAAAGGTGGGGATGTGTCCAAGACCATTTGTGTGGACTATAAAACAGAGGATGGCTCTGCCAATGCTGGGGCTGACTATGAGTTTACAGAAGGGACCATTGTCTTGAAATCAGGAGAGACCCAGAAGGAATTCTCCATAGGGATCATCGATGATGACATCTTTGAGGAAGATGAGCATTTCTTTGTACGCCTCAGCAACCTACGGGTGGTTGAGGCAGATGAACCTCCTGAGCTCAGCAACTTGACCTATCCCAAGGCCATACTGGCCTCTCCCTGTGTGGCAACTGTGACTATCTTAGATGATGACCACGCAGGTATTTTCACCTTTGAGTGTGATGTGATACACGTCAGTGAGAGCATTGGGGTAATGGAAGTAAAAGTTCTTAGGACATCTGGTGCCCGAGGTACAGTTATAGTACCCTTTAGAACAGTTGAAGGAACAGCAAAAGGAGGTGGAGAGGATTTTGAAGATGCTTATGGGGAGCTGGAGTTCAAGAATGATGAAACTGTGTAAGTACCACACTTAATTTTTTTCTGTATCAGCTGTTTAACTCCAGAATTTTCTTCCATCACAGGAAACTCAGGGAACGTGTAGCGGACTGTCCACTCTGCTTCTCTTCTAGTCTCCGTACTTATCTCTTCCAGGCAAGAACCCTACAGCAGGATCTAGTCTTTTCTGCTCTTTTCCTAGGAGAGAATAAATGTGGTTACACATATTTTTGAAATGGCCTAAACTTCACTTAGGACTTATTAAATTTATGATGAGGCAGAATACCAAAGCATGCTAGGGCCTTGATCCAGAACAGTCTTGCTCATATTAATTGTCATATGTACATTAATAGAGTGTTATGGCTTCAGGAGCAGGTTTTTGCTCCTCAAACTCTGGATCTACCTTACAGGTACATCTGATCAATTAGTTTCTACCTCTTCTTCTTTCCAGCCACTAAATCAATCATTGCCTTTAAAAAACAAACAAACAACAACAATAATAGTTCACTGTGAGTCTGAGTAATGTGTTGATTGCTTTGGGAAGAAAAATCTTTTAATAAGTTTTAAAGAAATGTGGCTTGAAAATCAAGTAGTTTTCATATCTGCTCCAGCAAAGGAAATCTCCTTATTTACCTGGGGATTTCTTCTACTAGCCATTTTTTTCCTGTAAAGAAAATCCCCTTCTAGCAAAGTCCACCCAAACAGTGAAAATACACATTCTGCTGTCAGGGTTCAATAGCATGCCCACTTTCTGTTGCCACTTCATTTGATCAACAAGATATTTTAATTAAAGCTGAAAAGTGGAGATGCTCAGAATCAGTAAGATGCCTTCGGTGCAATCATCTCTTTCAGCAAAGCTTGAGTGATGTAAATTCATTAACAACCTCCTAAATTTGTTGTAGTTTTTTCCGTTATAGAATACTTGATAAATTGGGCTGCTGAAGGGTTTTCTGCTTGCTCTACCTCTTTTGATTCTGCTATGGCTGTCACAGTAAGACTATGTTAGCAAATGCAAATGAGTCAGCTTTCGGGCCCTAGGCTTGTTCAGGAAGAGGCGAGCAGCCATAGCTTGGTGGTAGACCATATGCTGGATGTGCAAAAGTTCCCGAGTTCAGTCCCCAGGTACCTCGTTCTCAAGTAAATGTGCAGAAAAATGTGCTGGATCTGCCGGACATGTCTTAAACCTAGTACATGGGGATGATTGCACAGAATGCTTTCCCTTGATTTGTCAGTAGCAAAGGATTCAAATATTTATTTGTTTATTTTAAAAAGTTATCCTGAATCTTTAAGTACATTCATCCTGGGGGAACAAGGGGCTGGAAAGCTCTCTGAACCAAACGTCGACTGTGTGGGAAGCAGATAGATCCTGCCACCGGGTCTTGCTTGTTGCTTCTGTAATTCCAGAATGGTCAAAGTTTCCTCACCCTTATTTTGGGAGGTGGGATGGGAGAAATGATTCCTCCAGTTGTGGATAGGTATGTCAAGGTCATCCTAGTCTCCTATTATTGGGTGATTGTGAATTTGATGGGTGTCTGATGTCTATTAGAGAGCCAGTGTGGTGTAGTGGTTAAGAGCATGGGACTGGGACTCAGACGACCTGGGTTCTAGTCCCCGCTCGGCCATGGCGCCAACTGGGTGACTTTGGGCCAGTCACAGACTCTCAGCCCAACCTTCCTCACAAGGTTGTTGTTGTGGGGATAAGATGGAGGAGGAGAATGATGTAAGCTGCCTTGAGCCCTTTGAGGGAAAAGGCAGGATATAAATTGATAAATAAATAAATATTAGCTGCTGCTTAATCCTGCAAGTGCACCCAGATCTTGTGCCCAGCAGTTCCTCACAAGCTATGTGTAACTCCTGCCAGAGTCCGCTGGCTCTGCTCACATCTTTGCAGCAGGGCTCCTATAGGCTCTTTGTGATGAAGTGTGCAAATAACCTGGAATCAGACCAGGCCACAGACAACAAAATCATCTTTTTCAGTTTGGGGCTTAGCAAATGCCTACTTCGTTGAATGCGTAAAGAAGTCACAGTCTTGAACCTTGAAGAACTGGGCAGGGCTGTCATGGGCAAGGCGTTCTGGAGGGCCTTCGTTCATAGGGTCACCATAAGTTGGAGACGACTTGATGGCACATAGCAGCAACAACAAGGGCCCGCTGGCCTGGCCTAGCCTAGCAGCCTGAATCCCACTGCCACTTGCTTTGCCCCCACCAGTTGTCTCACCAGGCTGGCCAGTAGTTGCAATGTCTTGCAGCCTTTGCACTCCACACATTCTTAATATTTTGAAGGCCTTTCTCACACAAGCCCTCTCCTCTACCGATACCCGCAGGGCGATTTCCTCAGATGTCCTTGAGAGTTCTGCCTCAGAATGTCCGGCCCACCAGAAGCTTTGCGCTCTGCCCATGCTCCTTGCTTATTTGTGGACTCGGACTTCTGGCATCCATTCCCCTATAAACTTTTCTGCCTACACCTCATCCCGCTGACATGCTCTACTGCTTTCTGCTCAGGTGCTTTCTGGGGAAGCATCATGATTGAACACATTAAACTTTGGACCCTTTTCTTTTAAAGTTAATTTTAGTCTGAAAGCCACTTCTGCAACACTGATACAGCTGCAGTGCTGCCTTGAGTGGGCCCACAAAGGGCAAAAGGGAGAATGGTGTCTCTTCAACAGGACCTGCGCTGTCACCATGATGTCTTAGAATCTGCAAGACTAAGTCCCATTTTCTTTCATAATTGATCTTAAAATCAATATTGCTGTTTTGGAGGGCACATATATCATATCTTTCTTGCATGGCAGCTTTCCAAACATAGCAGCTGCTAGTATGGAAGAGTCAGAAGTGAATTGCATGAATCTATTTTTTTCCTCCTTCGTCCCACATTTATCACAGAGCATGAATAAAGCTTTGATGGTACAAATCAGGTTGGCTGCCTAAGCACCAATTTTTGTTCATATCTGCTACCCAGAATGCAAATACTGTGTATGGACCATACTCTCTGAACTCACTTACTGGTAACTCAACTGTCTTTGAAGATTGGGTGATGGCTGTGGTTGGAAAATTAAGTTATGTCAGTGGTTTTCAGGCTCCAGATTACCGAACCTGAGGATCCCTTGGCTCTGTATCAGGGCTTACTTAGAGGAGATCTGTGAAGATATGCAAGCTTCCTAAAGGGCAGCCTACAGGCTACTACTGATCTTCTGCAATAGGCACATTCAGAACAGCAGCAGAGCCCAAACAGACCTGGTTATGGCTCTGTGTGGACAGGCTGTTCTCTTTTAGATGCAAAAGGAGCCCCCATAGGTCAGACCAGAGATGCGTCAAGTCCCATCCTGAGGCCAGCCAGACACTTGGGGAGCCCACATTTTGCCTTCATGCCTTGCAGCTTACCACCCCTCCACCTATATACACACTGTTTGTTTCCAGCAAGTGTCTCTGAACACATTTACCTGTCATGACCAGATAGTTGTTGATGGAGGCATCTTCCAAGATGTTTTTCTAACCTACTCTTAAAATCAACCAGGGATCAAACTACGTAACAGCCTGATTTGCAATAATCTGAGGTGTCACTGAATTGTGAGTTATCAAACTCGAGAAGAGAACCCATGGTTTGCTGTTGGGTTGTAAACTCTTAAACAGTTCATTAACAGCCCATAGTTAAACCAAAGTGAAGGGTTCTTACGTGACAACAACCCACAGTTCAACAACAATCCGCACTCAACTGGGTCATCTTTATGTGTGAACCAGGTGATAATGTTAACTCAGTGGAGGACAGCTTCCCCTCTTGTTTTGTTTCCTGTAAAGTAAGCATATGATGCACAGTCCAGCTTGGGACAGGCAAGGGGGGGATGAGAATGATTTTATGAATCCAAGAGCAGCTGAGGCTCTCAGGATGACCTGCATGATAGAAACAAATGCAAAAACACTAATGATAAATCCTTTTCTTCCTTTCTTCCCAAACATAATAGTTAATAAAAGGGGGAAGAGCCATCACTTTCCCTAAAAATCAAGAGTTTGAAAACCACTGAGCAATGAGAAGCCCTTCTGTATTGCACATGGAAATGTTGTGCTTCCTGGTTTCTCTTTGAAGAGCTGCTTTTGATTTTGGTGCAGAAGTGGACTGATATACTTGTCCTTCCCCAGGCACAGAGAACGTTGCTGCTGGTTTCATGTATCTGTCACCAGGTGCAAGTGGTCCTCTCCTTGAACAGTTAGAATCGTGTAAGAGGAGGGAGAGCAGGAATCTGTGCTTCAAGCACTATGAAGAGGGTCTGCCACGGGGAGCCCCCTGTACTTGCATAGATCTCCCTGCCTGGTTTAGATAAAGGAGGTGCCACACAGCCAAGGTGTGGAACGAGGCTATGTTGATACAACGGAGGGGGCAGGCTAGCTAGTTCATTCATGCTCTTCTCATATATGAAGAAAGGAAGAATGACTGCATAGAATTTGTCCTTTCTGGCATAAGATAATGATATAGTCGTCCAAGTGCAGCCATAATAATTTTGTGACTTTAGCTCGTGGAGTGAGCAGGCAATTAGCTTGCTTGGGAAAATGATTATTTTGCATGAAATCTGTGTGCTGTTTCTACGTGCATTGTGTTTGATTCATATTCTATATTCAAATGGTCTTAATAATTTATATGGAGAAAAGAAATCTTCAGGAAAGATCTATTTATTATCATTCCCCTGAGAAATGTTTAGTGTACTTTTTACTTCCAGAGAAGGACTTGATAAAAGCAGCTTCAAATGACTGAAACATTAAACAGTGACTAATAATTACAACATATTAAATCAAGAGCTTCAGCCAACATATAACACCACCCCAAAACCCCTTAGCAATGAATTGATACATTTAATTAATATAATAATCCGCAGTTTGATTCTGTACAGATGCTTCTCTACTGTGAAGATAATGTCAGTGTGACTTAATAAGGAAAGATGGTGATGGGTAAGTTGGTTGTGCTGGCTTTGAATTATGGGAGTTTCAGTTCAACACATCTGGAAAGCACCAGATTGGGGAAGGTTACTTTAG